ATATGTAACTTGCAAGCAGTCCTGCTGTTTGTTACTGGCAATTAATTTCTCCAGAGCCTTTCTTCCATTCAGATGGAGCCTTTCTGCACCAAATCCAGCTATTCTAATACTCCCCACTTCTGCAGTGGAGAAAAAAGCTCAGAGTGACAGATTATCACAGGGCAGTTAAGCATGTAATTGCTCAAATGAGTTAAAATCCCTTCAAATATCTGTCTTTGTACCTCATCACACCACTTCATGGACTCAAATATTTGACAATTGATGAAGATAAACTAAAGGGATCTTCATTAGCTACCAACCACCGTGACAAGCTTCTTTGAGAGCAAGGCTGGTGAATTTGGGGGACTTATTATCTACTTAAAAAGCTGCAGGAAAGCAGGAAAAATACTTCAGCACACTTTAGAGAAGAAGGGAAAAACACCTAGAAACTTACATGCTACTTAGGGTTAAACAAAAATTGGGGGGGGGTTTACTAAATTGAAGTTGATATGTGTCAAAATTATGCAGTGAAATAGCTGAGGATCAAAATTGGAAGGGGAGTCCATCAGCAGTCTGATCACTTTCTGGTTGTCCTCAGTGAATAATCATATTTATTATTAAAAATGGAAAAAGAAGAAACTCATTGAAATAACAGATATTTGGACATGACATGTAGAAATTTTGGAGGAAACAAATAGCCCCTCCAACCCAAACGTTTTGTCAACCTATAAAGAGAAAAACCAGAAGATATCAGTTCCCAGAGGCCCTTACTTTGCTGTTTTTCCCAAATGTTTCCTCATGTCTTACACTCTCAAGGTTATTACTTGCCATTTCCTTCTGCTCCACTTGAGAAGCAGTAACAGTAACAGTAACCAGTAACAGGTACACCCTGAGGCCTTGCCTACATGGGTTTTTTTATCCCAAGTTCCCCTGTGCCTATGTGATACAGTGCCAAAACCCCAAATTGGATCTGGATTGTCTTCACGATGCTTGCATCCAATTTGGGGCTTACTCCCATTACTCCCATTAAAAAAAACTCATGAAGGTTGACTGTTTTTAATCTCAATGAGAATGTTAACATTGAAGGGCTTACCCTTTACCATCTAGGGAAGACCTATTGAGTCAATTGTTGAATGGTGAGCCATTTGTTGGTCATTTGATTTGTTCCAACATGTTCTCATCTTGATGATTATTTCTTATCTGGTTTAAGTGCCCAACCCGTGGGCCATTCCTGAATTACACCTCTCATGAGGCCCAAATATAAGCTTCTCTTTGTCTGTGAAGAGCTTATAGTAAAATGGAACCTTAGTGTGCATAAGCAATATACACCTGAGTATCAGATGCTAGGAGACAGCTAACAATGCAAGGTGGTTGTGTTCCTTCTATGCTTGCAATTTTCCAGCTGTCTGACCATTGTTGGAAACTGAATGTCAGACTAACTGGACCTTTGGCCTGATCCAGAAGGGCTTCTCTTATGTTCTTGAGATACAAGCATTCCATGCTTCATAAGATCAATGTCTCCCTTTGAATTAATAGATTGCTGTTTGCCATTCCATTTGACATTTGCTCTATAGATGTAATCTACATAGGGTTTGCTGTTGGGCAAAAAGTGCAGCAGGGGGAGATAAAATGGACATCAGAGAATGAGGAGGTAAGCGATGTTGGCAAAAATGTATTGCATTCTGCAGTCTTTCACCTCTTGTCAGGTTCCTTTTTTGCAGGAGTCCTTCTCACTGTTATTATCTTCCTCCTCTTACTTGACAGGTGAGGTCAAGCACTAGACTAGTCAATAAAGTTTCTCATGTATATTTCAAAGAACAGTAGTCAATTAACCTTGAGAGAGGTAGACATTGTCTTGTCGACAACAATAGCCCAAGACACTGAATGTGTGGCAGGATGAGAACAGCAGATGGGTGAAAGCACCAGACAGTTCCGACAGGCTGTTCTCTGTATTGGATAGGGGAAACATCTGTCCATGCTTCCAGCATGAAGGCAGTGACAGAAGGCAGTCACCTATCAGGATAAGTTTTTCATTTAGGAATGTAGCCCATTTGGATTGCATCTTACCTCAGGCTGAAGGTAGATTGCAGCAGATAAAATCATAAACCCTTTGAAAAAGCTAACATTTTGTTTCTTTGTTTCTTGGATTTATACCTCACCTTTCTCCATAGGTGGGACCCAAGGCATTTCATTTTTGTACAAATTTGACAGCAAAAATAATTTCAAAATACTGGTTCTATAATTAAAAGCACACTGACAGTGGTCTGTCCTTCTCAGCAAAGGCTGAGAGACATGTACAGTGAAAATTCTCAGCCATTAGGTTGTTCCAAAATCCAGGTGGACAGTTATACAGAAGTACCCTCTTCCACCAATGGGACTGGGAGAGAGGGGGTCCTTCAATTCCCCCCCCCCAAAAAAATCTACTCGGGACAAGAGAACCCACTGTATATTATTATTATTATTATTATTATTATTATTATTATTATTATTATTATTATTATTATTATTGTGGTATGGTGAGTTCAAGTGCCAACATGACATTGGTTTTAGGACTCAGACACCAGCTATGAAGGTTGGCCCATCTCACTGATGTCCTTACTTCAAATGCCATGGAAAAATTCAAGAGGTGGTTGGTTTCTTTCCAATAAAACACATATTCCCATTGCAAACTGATTTTTGTCAACAGCAAGGAACAAAGAGAATCAAGAGGGACATCTGTGAATGAAGGAGAAGGAACTTGCTTGCTGCTTCTCATATTCCATCTGCCTGGTCTTCCTTCACTGGTGCAGTTTTGCTGACAGAGGCCATCAGTCACCAGCTGTTTTATGTCAGCTATCTGGACTGAGTATTCCTTGCTTAAGAAACCCCTATGAAATTCACGGGTTTACCATAAGTTGACAGGCAATATGAAAGCATGTATACACAAATACTCATCTACTTGAGTTGAGGGAGATATATGGTGCTTCTGTGGGGGTAGGCTAGACATTAGGACACTGCTTTGTGGAACCACTTAGGGGGTTAATTTCACTATATTAGATAAATATCAGCCAATCTCCAATATTTCATTTTAGGGCAAGGTACTAGAGTGTGTGGTGGTCTCCCAGTTTCAAAGGCCTAGTTATGGAATGGAAATGGTTTGGTTATTTTGGTGCAAAACCTACACAAAGTACTGAAAAAGAGGACTCTGGTCTTCTTGGTTGTGATGGATCTTTAGGAGACTTTTGATAGAAATCTGGTCAGCATGGTTCAAATCCCCATTCTGCCTTAGAAACCCACTGGATGATCTTGGACAAGTCATATGCTCTCAACCCCCAAGGAAAGCAATGGCAAACCTGCTTTGAGCAAATCTTACCAAAACAACAGCAGCAACCCATGAGAGGTTCGCCTCATCCTAAGTCAGAAATGATGTGGAGGCACACAACAACAACCAAAACCTAGATTAATTCATTTATATCTGCTCCACGATGTGTACAAAAAAGTTATGGATGAATAAATCTAGGTAACTGTTCCATATTCATGATTGCTTCATTCATGATTACAAAACATAGGCGGTATTCTGTTTTGGCTATTTAGTTATTTAACTAAGTAGCCGACAGAGAATGTTGGTTACATTTTGTACTTTCATCTTTGCTTTTTATTGCTTGAATATTTATTTTTAAAAAATATTATTATAAGTAAACAACTATGTACAAAATATTTCACAACAATAAAGTAAAATAAAACAATTCATCTCACAACTTTGAATTATGTTACGGGTCTCCACTTCTTGGGTTTTGTTCAATGCAAGTGGTCATTTAAAAGTCTATTTGTTCAAAGTTTTATTCTTTTCCAGAATGGGAAAGTGTGCAAGCTGATGTTTTCTTGTGTGGACTGTTAAAAAGAAGTAGCGTGTGATGGGTGGTCTGTATCTTTGTGATGACTCAGCCTGCTATTTTACTTATTTTTATTTGTTAAATTTTTTATATCCCACTTTGGGATCTCAGCTATGTGTGTGTTCAGCTTCACAAATGAGGGAAAAGACACACAATTTGCATGTTTCTGAACTACTTCTTTGTGGAACCCTGAGCCAAAATGTCCCTTCTAATAGCCACTGTAAGATCCTTAATGGAAAACTTTTGTCTTCTTAGCACCCAAGCTGCAGGGACAATCCTCTATTGCAAGAAAGCTGTTACAAGATATTCGAAGGAAACATATACTTGAAATAAACATTCAGAGATAAAAATGTAAGACTATTGCATGTTTCTCTCTCTCTCTCCCTCTCTCTCTCTCAGTTTGGAAATATTTATCTCATCAAGCAGAGGGGATTTTTTTTCCTTTGCAAAAGCATTTCATATGCAAAAGGGATCGCTCAAAACTGGCAGAACGAAAATTACTTTTTTCCATATCTGCTTGGCAGAAACCCCTGTAGATGCCACTCTCCTCCCAAGGACTCACATTCACCTCCTACAAGGACTGTAGTCGTCGTTATTTTAAATTGATTGCAAAACACAATTATACATAAAGAAATGCCACAAAGGATTCTATCAAATGCACTAGAGCAGTAAATACAGTTTTCAATTAAACTTTAATCTAAAGGATATTATTCCACTGTCCAGGACTTCAACTGAAGTATTTTTAAGCAAACAGACTTTAATTACTAGATTTCATATTCCTAGCTCTGAAAAAGTTTGTCCTTTTAATGAAGTGTGCACTTTTAAAAGAATGGCTTGTCATAAGATTTCAGGTTGTGATCTTACATTCCATCAAAAACTCTAATTTGTCTTTGAAGACTTCTCTTTGAAGGAAGGAATGTACAGGTCACAATTAGAGGCTTCTGTCCATTTTCAGGTTATCCATCCCCCTTTTACTTTTTTTGGGTAGCAGACAGTGAAGGAATCAGGCAATGCATAATAACATAGAGAAGAACAGAGAGAAAATGTGGCATAATGATTAGAGTACTCTATCAGTACTTGAACCTATCACAGGGCTTTCTGGGGATGAGAGTGCGAGAATCACCCAAGGTTGTCCAGTGGGTTTCCATGGTTGAGCAAGGAATTGAACCCTGATCTCCAGAGTCATAGTCCAATGCACAAACCACTGTGCAATGCTGGGACATCTCTGTTTTTTTCTAGGCTTGAAGATGATAAGATCTTTTTAAGGGTGAAAGAGAGACAAGGAAAATAGGAACAGGGCAGGAGAGTACACGATGATGGTCCTATCCCTGATGCCATCTACCTTTAATGCCACTGGTACCATCCTTGATCCATATCACTTCTGCTACCAGAGCTTGGATACAGTGGGGATTGTGATTCCCAGCTGCTTCCTTGGTTTGGGAAAAAAAAAAACATTTTATGAGGTTGAACAGCTATGGAAATAAAGCAGTGTTTTTCTTTTTTTTTGCACCTCTCAAGAGCTGTAGTACAGAGAAATGCACCTTGCATTGAGCATTCATGCCTTTGCACCTCCAAAACCATGTAACGTAGCTGTGGCTCCATGGGGATTGTCAGCCACTGGTGGGAGTTTTGGGATGGAATGAGAAGAGCTAGCATAGTGATTCATAAACTCTGGTCACAGAATCATAGGATCATAGAGTTGGAAGAGACCACAAGGGCCATCCAGACCAACCCCTTGCCATGTAGGAATACACAGTCAAAGCACCCCTGACAAATGGTCATCCAGACTCTGTTTAAAAACTTCCAAAGTAGGAGAGACCACCACACTCTGAGGCAACATATTCCACCGTTGAAGAGCTCTTACTGTCAGAAAGTTCCTCCTAATGTTGAGGTGGAATCTCTTTTCCTTTAGCTTTCATCCATTGTTCCACGTCCTATTCTCTGGAGCAGCAGAAAACAAGCTTGCTCTATCCACAATGTGACATCCCTTCAAATATTTAAACAGCTATCATAAGCTATCATATCAAGGTTTTTGGTTTCAGCTCTCAGAAGCTTTGGCCATCTTGGCCAATGGTCTGGGATTCTGGAAGCTGAAGTCCAAAACACCTGGGAAGCCAGACTTTGGGAATCATTCGGCTAGCACCTCCTTCAAAACAAGTCAAAAGCATATGAAGCACACATTTGTCACCAACAAGAACCTGGTCCTTGTGTTATATTTTAATGGCAAGTCAATTCAGGTGCCCTAAGATAATGCACTTTTCCTTCTCATAGTATCTTTCCCATAATTCAATAATGCCAGGTGCCTGGGACTTTACTATGATCGCTGTTTCAGTTTATTTCATTGCTTAGGATTATGACCTTGGGAACTGTCATGAAGCTTTGACATAAAAAGATTACTAAGGTAAAATTAAAACATGCAAGAAACTTGTTCAATATTGTCAGGAATTATAATTTAAACCTGCTATGTTATTAGATATTGAAAGAGCACAAAAGGTAACTCACGCAGAGGTTTTAACCTCTGCTCCCCCATCTGCACCAATTAAGTATAATGTGCAATGAAATTTTAATCTCATATAATTAAACATGGTATTAATTTTGTAAAACTAGAAAAGGCTTTTTAACCTGTATTAATCAACCTTTTTGAGGAAATAAGTGTATTCCCCTTGGAAGTTTTGTTTTTGCACCCTAAATTAAGGAATCAATTGGATTTTTAGATGCAGTTTTTCTCTCATATTTATGCGAAATCAAAACTAATTAATAGAATTAATTACAAAACATGTGCTATACATTATTATTACTATTTTCATCATTGAATGACATTTGTGTGATGTGATTGTTCTGCCCAGAATGTGGAAATAATGAACTACATTTTCAGTTACCTGTAAATAGTTACTTTGGGAGTAACAAAGCTTTAACAAAAGTACATTTCAAAGAATATCCAAATTGACTGCTATAACAAATGATGGATTCTGGTTTCTTTTAAAAGATCATTTCCATAGACATTTTGACAGAAAATATTGTGTAAAATTCTTATCAGTCTGAAGAGATCACAGCAAAATTAAAAGAAGTAATGAGCAGCGTAACAAATGATGTACAATTAACTTGTTCCCAGCATAAGTTAAAGGAACAATTTTTTTAGAAGTAACTTTTCAAGCTCTGAACTCAAAGCAGTCATCAGTTAGGAACATGGTACTGGAACGGTTCAAAGAGTATCTGACAAAGTAGACCAAGTTTACAAGAGCTTATACTACAACTTTTTTTGCATAGTTAGAACTTTACTGCATGGGGGGGGGGGCAAAACTGATTGGGAGAGTAGTGGTTTTCTCTGTTCTGCTCTACATGATGTTTTAGTAGTCCCATTCTCTTCCCAAGGGGAGATGGTCAACAAAGCATACCATTTGATGAATGGGAAAAATCTGTTCTTGCATTACATCATGGGAAATGTAACATAACAGACTTCTACTGTGGAATGGAGCTGAATCTATAATAATCACTACCTAAGACTGAAGTGACTGAGTGGCAGTGGCAAATCTCAGATATGTTGAAGGTCTGGTGATGCAGTGGTGGCCACCTAGCAAGGGATATGATGGCAGTAGGATCAGGAACAGACCCTTCTAAACCCTCTGGCCCTCAGTTAGTGACTGACTATACTGACCCCGATACCTGACATGTTAAGATACAATTTAGCAACAATCACTTTCCCAGATTTCCTGCATCAAATTTCCATCAAATAAGATTCCCAGGTCAGGACTATCCCAGGTCTTGAAACTTTGGAGCCAAAACCTGAGATGTAGGATGACTCCTTGTGACATCACAGAGGCTAGTTCTAGTGATGTTAAAGGGCAATGTTAAAAGTGGTGTCATTGAGCATGATATATTAAGCATCAGCCACATTTGCGCTTATTACACCATTCAAACAAAAGCCAGTCAGTCCAACAAATGAGGAAACACACATAGATAGAAGAATAAGAATAATAGAATAAGAAGAACCCTTACTTCTTAAAGGATGGGTGGGATTCAGGATTTTATGTTTTGTTTAATGAAAATTGTAATGTTGTAAGCCACCCCAATTGCTCTGCAGAGGGGCGGGATATAAATAAAAATTATTATTATTATTATTATTATTATTATTATTATTATTATTATTATTATTATTATTATCATAGATACACTTTTAAGGTAGCACTTTTGCCTTAGATTCCTCCCTCTCCTCCAAAAACTGGGGAACAGAGTTCAGGCCCTAGGAACTGGTTGGGGACCTATATTCCATGAACTTGTTGTGTTGTTGTGTGCCTTCAAATCATTTCCCAACCTATGGTGACCCTAATATATTTTGGGATTTTCTTGGCAGGATTTGCCATTGCCTTTCTCTGAGGCTAAGACAGTGTGATTTGACCAAGACAGTGTCCTCCATTTGGGAGGAAAGACTAAATGATAACCTGTGTGTCAAGGTCCTTCAGTTTCCTACCCAGAGCTCATAACTCCTTATGGTATCCTGAAGGCTGTGCCTTGCACTATCATTGGTACCTATGTGGACCAAAAGGAAGGGATAATGGTTGATGGGCTTGATGAGTCTTGTCAATCTCTTTGTTTCATCACAGATTTTTGCCCCAGGGAGACAGCACACCTCTCAAGACACCCTGTCAGGCCCACAAACGATTGCTTTTGTTCCCCACAGCAGGAAATCCCCTACCATCATTACATGCCTCCTTTAGGATTGGAAGTGGCCAATCCATGTGGTGAATTTTCTAGGTTCACCTGCAAGTTCTCTGAGGACTGTCACTGTTGATCTTGTTGCTGTTCCTCATCCTCACTGATAAGGAAGAGAGTCCCAAATTGATTCTGTAGCTCCAAAATCACAGAATGATCCTTGAACTTTCTACATCTATGTTTTACATTCCTCCAATTGTCCACCTACTGTGTTTGTAAAATGACCACCACCTTAGAGACATCTCCTGTGTGTTTCTCATCTAGGGCACTCTGTCTACAAAAAGCCCACATACTCTCTAATATGCTGAAGAGTAGATACATAGTCCACAAGTTGCTGGACCTTCTCTCCCAAAAGGGCAACCAACTTGCACTTGCTGGAGATGTAACTACTCACATTTATGCATGAATACAAACATGCCACAGCAGTTTCAGGTATTTGCAGCAATCCCCTCGCTGTCCATATTCAGTAGTCTTAAGTAGGCACTGAAAGAGAACTCCAGGCTTCCCCCTCAAAACTTTCTTGCTAAGCATCCACACAAAACACATGTTGGCTTTGCTGCCCGTTAGCCAAGCATTTTGAATGGCATCTTCCAGAACGTCATGATGGCTTTGGGGTATTCTGAGAGTTTGTCTCTAAAAATAACTTTTCCAGCCTCTGGGGGGAAGGGATCATGATTTGAACTGCAATCTTCCCCAGCTAACCCCTGCAATGCTAACAAGAAGGATCCTACCACAGACCTGAAAACCTCTGAACAGAATGAGAAGGAAAAAAATGAAGAATAGCATCCCCCCACCAAGTCTTTAATGGTTAGTCAGGTGGTATTTCCTCTCTCAATTTTTTCTCTCTCTCTCATTCTCAACATTAAACGATGGTTTTCTGGCAGGATCATCTGGAAAACTCTGATATGTGTTTTGTTGTTGTTTCTTCCTCTCTTTCTTCACCCGATAATTGAGGCAGAATCCCCTTGTCTTTAAAATGCCATATATTTCCCACCTGGCAAAGGACTCAGACAACTCCAGATAAATACCCTGTAGACACACAGACAGAGAAACCACTGTAATTGCCTTCATAATGACTCTCAGACATCAAAGGGAGGAAAATAATGGTATTTAACACTGTTTCCATTCTTTCGCTGAAATGTAATTTTATAAAGTTATTGCCAGGCAGCGCGTTGACTGTACAAGCACAACTGTCATATCCTACTCATATTAATTAGCTCCCCACAAAAGGTCTGGGAGAGGATGTGCAAAGTTCTCCTCCTTTCAGATGCCCCGATATGCGGGCAGAAACTACAAGCACTGTGGCCTGATTAGCTCAGGAACTTAGATCAGGATTTCCCCAGGAGTGTGTCGACTGGCATTTAGAGGAATCTATTAATTAGCACTCCAAACAATCCCATTCATGGGTTCATGAAAGAATTTTGTACAGTTGAGGAAACTTACATCAAGGATGGGAAGGTACTCCATTTTGGAAGAAAGGCGAGATAAAAATCCAATCAATCAATCAAT